TTCATACTTTGTCGCTTGGCGTAGCCCTTTTCATCCTCACTCATCATCCTCCCAGCTGCAACTGTCATTTGCTACAGTCAGCGTTTCACTTCAAACAAAGCCCAAGGCAGAGCAACAAAGGAGAGAAGACAGTGGGCAAACAAACTGGAAGGCAGACTAAATAACTGCGGCTTGTCTGCTGCATGAGGGAAACACAACCTAGCGGTATGTGTGTCACTGGCTGCGGCCATGCATCCGTGTATATGTGAGCTTCTGTGTGTGTGTGTGCACGCGCATGTGTGTGCTCGTGTTGGCAGCAAACATCAGAAACAAAAGTGTCTCAGTTCCATGCATCCCCAGTAGGCCACAGCTGTTGTTGGTATTTCAACTTAATGCAGGTGCCTGTGCTGCTGTCTTTGTGGAGCTGTCGTTGTGTGTGTATGTCTCCCCTATATAAGTCAACTTTGAGAATATATATATAGGCATAAGTGTTCATCAACAAAGGTCTGTATGTGTGTAAAGATGGCTCAGTGTCACCAGTACTACAACACAAAAGCATCACCTGGTTGTTTTAAGTGAATAAAGCGTAGGCACTCAGAAGGAATAAACCCTCCAGCTGAAGTTATGACACTGAGAAAAATGAAAATATGAACCAAATTTACCCTGGTTGCCTAGTTCTATATCTTTATACAGCTCAGAGTGCATTGCAACACACTTCAGTTAGAAAGAGTAAAGAAAGAGTAAAGATATGTTAGGAAATCATACATTTCCAAAACACTAAAACAACAACAAAAATGGTGAAACATGAGTTAAAATTGGAAAAGGGAGCCATGAGACTAAGAGAAATCCCTTAAGTGAAAGTACATTTTCAAAGATGCTATTGATTTAGCCTGAGGTGCTCCGACAAGGAGCTTCAGTGCTGAGAGCTCTGGATTACACAAGCCCAGTCAACCCAAGTAATATACAACATATTGGATTGACCAGGAGACCCCTGTCTTTGGATCTTGGTCAGGGCTCGAACTTTTGGGATTTACAACCTCTAAAGTGTTGCTGGTGACAGGTGATGGAATAAAGTGCAACGGTTTAAACAAATGAGATAAAAGCATTAACTATTCTCTCAATAAATGTGGTTGTAAAATACAATTTTAAAGTATTAGTTTAACATTTTAGAAGATTTATACTTCTTTACAGTCTCGCCAACTCTAAGATGAGAGAATCAATATCACTCTCATGTCTGTGACAGTGCCTCATGCAGCCACTTTGTGTTGCATATAGCACCAAGAATGGATACCGGGGGAATGCACTAGTCTGCCTCTGAGGGTCCAAAGATAACCAAATCCACCAACCAGCACCTCCAAAGCTCACTAAACACCATGTTAGAGCCAGTTGGTTCAAGAACTGAAGTGGAAAAATTACATTTTACCTTTTATGGGGCTTATGCTCAAGCTGGGACAAGTTAGAAGGCGACCAACAGAGAAGCCCGGAAAGAACGAATAATCTCCCCAAAAATGTTGAAATGCAGTTTTACACTTTCTATGGATTTAACAAATCACATTTAGATGGATTCTGTTGCTTTTGGATAAAGCCAGGCTAACTGTTTCGCCCTGTTTTCAGTCTTTGTGCTAAGCTAAAGTAACTGGCCCCAAGGCTCACCTACAAATCTATTTCACAGGCATGAGAGTGACACGAGTCCTCTTTCCCAAGCTAAGATTCTCATCTAAACTGTCACTTGGTTTTCAAACATATACAATACTCCCAGGTGTCCTCAATTGAATCAGTTGGTGTGTCCACCCTAAAGCGTGAGTAGTCGAACAGGTTGTAGCAGCTGTCTTGGATGCACCAGTTGAGCTAACACTTGGGGGGAGCGCTTCAGAGGTGGGATACAAGTTTTCCCATCCCCTGCTGGGCTTTTTTTTCAGCTGGGATTGGCCCTCAGCAGCAGGAGGTCATACCGGTGTATGGACACCTGAGAGCAGGCTGCCTTAATAGCTCTGTTTACAGCAGCTCACCCACTGGTGTGCAGGGACATCAGGTTCCCATAGGTGATGACCAAAATAAACACTTGTCTCATCAGAGTCCAACTAGAATGCAGTCTTGCTGAATTCTCCAGTTTCTGCCACACATTTTCAAACCAGCCTCTGTCAGCGTTATTTACTTCTGTTTTGTGTTAGACGTGTCAGATACACATAAATAAAGAGAGTGCACATCACACAGACCTTCACAGATTCTCTCCATCCATCTTCTTGACAAATAGCACTCATCCATGATATGAGATCAGCAAAATCTTCCTCGGAAACATCTGGGCTTGAGTCATGGCTTGACCCCTTGTTTGTGAGTAGGTGTGTGTGTGTTTGTGTGAGCGTGGTTGTGGTGGATTTCTATTTGTGAGAACATCTGATGTGTGTTTTCATGCTCCTACCCTCAGCACATGTCCTGTGCAGTTAAGAGCAGCACCCCTATGGAAAATACACAATGAGGGCAGACCAAAGTACAATCTGATTCCAAAAAAAAAATCCCTGTGAGAAACAAAAGCATCACGGGTCTCCACCTGTCAGTTTGTTTGTGCGTGTGTGTTTTTAAAAGACATCAGAGGGAGACAAAAAGAATGTCACCTTTAACATATGTTTATGTATTTTACTATAAAATGGGATAAAAACATAAGGTGAGACAGGAGATGCACATCTCTGCATATGCATCCTACGGCTCTCTCTGAATGATTGTTCGCAGAGGATTTGAGCCCATCGCATAAACTCAAAGATCCTTCTCTCATTCATTTATAATTTATATAAGGTTTTGTGTATTTTGACAGTAACTTAAGTCATGAATAGACCGTGTGTGAGGGTTTGGACGACCGCCTACTGGTCAAATCATTCAAGCCTGCAGTAATGTGTGAGAAACAGAGCTCCAAGTCTGGGCTTTATCTGACATCTAGTGGTGAGTTTTGCGGCAAACTGCAATTTTGGTTTGACTCCTTTGAGATTGCTGCACTTGGAAGTTATAAATTTAGCACAAACACACATGAAGGAAGCAGAATGATCCATGAGTCATGTTGTGCATAATAAATGTATTCCTCTTATGATTCCACCTCAGTTTGTACTCATTGTACAAATGCGTTCCTCACAAAACTTAATGAATATCTTGACAAGATAATTAAAAATAAAGCTTATTTTTTAAAAATATAATTAATTAGGCAACATATATGAATCAAAATTAAACAAATAACAATAAACGTATCACAATAAGTATAGTGTTTATCACCTTGAGTAAAATGCAAAGTGAATTTGTTTGCTGCCCTGTTCTGTGTATCTGTAGGATATTTTAAATCTATTTAATTTAAATTGACTGATTTTTGTATCTTTGTTCTCTGTGAATGCTGATTTATATCACAAAAGTGTGAGTGTTTGAAAGCCTTAGATATATTTTCTAGAAATTGTTCCTCTGATTGCGTTTGTTAATCAGTTCATCACTTTTGACTATCCAGATCAGCGGTTTAACCCCAACCAGATCGTATTAGATCTCCTCTGAACTCGTCTCTATGGTTACGACAAGGTCAAATGTAAAAGGTCATGAGGGAAACAGATGGCAATCCAGCCTGACAACAACATCTATAAGCTAGGTGCAGATGTGTGGGAGGGAGGGTTCGCATTTGTCTGTATGTGTCCATTTATGCACAATGATTTTGTAGAACAGAGACATTTTATTGAAGAATCAAAGTCCTTTCTTGCTCATCTACCTTTAATTAGTTAAAGTTCAGTGTGTGAGAAACTGTGTACAAGTCAAGTCTTGCTTACCCCAAAGCAAAATATGACACTATACCTTCAGTAAAACAATCTGGATTGCTTCCCACTACCAATCTTAAACCATCCTGAACATCCAGAGCACTTTAGGAACATGACGACGTCCTCTGTGATTGAGAAACATTACTTAAATAAATCTTTTAAGTATCTGTCATTTGTCAGTTAAATAAATGCTCACGCAGTGCCTGAGGCCCATGTGCAGCTAGTTTCCCCTGTTGATTCGCTGTCCTACTTTACTCCTCCATGTCATTTTCTCCCGTTTGCCATTGTCTTCTCCCTGCAGAAATAATTCCATATACTCTTATGGTATTTTAGAGGCACACCAGTGGCAGGGAGCTTACAAACTGACAATCTGATTTGATTGAAAACACGGTAAATCCCACGCTGGATCAGGCATTCAATCTCACATCATCACTGACACACTGCCGTCCCATAAACCCACTTCTTAATCCCAAAGCCTTTTTTTTATTTTGTGGTCAGTGTGCCACCCATTACCACAAATCCCTCTCTCACCCCGCCCCCTCCCCATTGTGCACTGTGTGTATGTCTGCAGGGATGAGTCTGAGTTTGGGCACAGCTGGCATCCTCATCCTATAACCTGTTCTGCTCGGGGCATATTTGTGAATGCACTGACATGAACTGAGTACCTGGACAAGGTCAGGCAGACATCCAGCAGATCTGTGCAGCCCTCTGGCCTGATGTGATTGTCATTCTCGGTGGTTCTGCTGCTTTTATAGGATATAGAGGGCTTCCTTTCTGTTATGGGCGTAATTTAAGATCTGCGTTCCTGGAGAGAAAGACTTCTTCACCACCCCCTTCACTATAAGGCAGAGCACACTTGGAGAGTTGGCAGCCATGAAAACTGTGCCAAAGGAGGACAGCAGATGCAAGAGCCAAAAAAAAAGAGGAGCAAATTTCCTGTGCATTGATGGCATGATCTGATGGAAAACTAACGCTTTTGCTCCACTATTTGAGGATTGAAGACAACTCATATTATTTTTAAGTGCTTTGGAGAAATATCCCTCTGCAGCGGACTTTAAAAGTTTTTCCCCCCCTTCCACTCATCCAGTCTCATCCTGCATCTGAGAATCCAGACTCCTGCGCAAGGGACGCAACACAATCTCACCTGGCCTTCAAGCGTCGCTGCTAGTTGAGCATATTTACACATATAATGAACGCAGGAGCCACCGCGCTACATGTCGGTCATGTAGATAAAACAATTTAAAGGATATAAAAGAAGAAGTGCGCGCTCTCGGCGAAGCGCAGCATCAGCACCAGCATCCGATGCGCGTCCCCGCCCCGGTAGAGGCTGCCCAAGATCCCGGGAAGAGGTGCTGGATCTGCGCGAGTTAAAGTTGGGCTAAAAGGGGGGTGAGAGGATGCTGCAGAACAATCTTCGGTCTAATTAACATAGCCTGTGCGGAGAAACGTGTCCTAAGTGAAGGATGACTTGCAAAATACTGAGCATATGCCTCTTGTTTTTGGGTTTTCAAGATTGCTCATCACGTAAGTCTTGTAAAACAGCAATTGTTCATGTATTATCGTTTGCTAGAATATGATTAAAATATCTTAAGATGTAGCCGATATATATGGAGATTGTTAAGTGTCGGATCATGTGCTGGGGAAAAAAAAAGTTGCAGGATGATGTTCGGTAGCCTAATAAGTGGAAAATACCACTGGAGGGCAAAATATTAGCCGGAGATGTTGGGATGTTTGAAGGGCAACACACGCTGAGATGAAAGCAGACATGGTGTTCAAACACAGATGATTTTATTTTCATGTCTTGTTTTAGTCAATTGCGATTTCAACACACTGGTTTGTGGTGTAATACAAAAAAAAAAGTGTAGAAGCCAACCGCGTCGGTCCTGCAGAAGGTGCGCACGGTGCTCCCCTTTGCACCGGGCTGTCTGCATTGCAGTGCTTTCTCTCGGCCAGCACGCAAGTTTCTGCAGCCTGCGGGGCTCTACTTCTTTGCAAAGCACCATGCAGGCTTTCTCGTATTTCTGATAGAATAATCTGCAGATTGTGACGATGGTGCAGGTTGTTGTTGCTGGAAATCCGTTTGAACACATTTTCACAGTGACGGTTGAGAGCGCAGCAGGGCTCGGCGTCCTCACCGGGACCAGCCCACTGCAGTACTTTTTTTGGGAAGCCTGCGTACCCATCACCTGCTCATAAAGCCCTGCGCCATGTGGTTACCTGGCAGGGGAAATCATTACCTAATGCGAGGGTGCCGAAGCAGCCGTGTGTTTGATTGATTTGGGCAGAGGTGGGGATATGTTTTGGGGCTAAAATTGGGTAGAGGGAGAGGCACGACACTCCATCCATCACACGCATACTGATGAGCTTGATGTGTGGCCTCAGATGGGGTCTTGATTGTTAGGCTGCTTCAATCCCACCCCAGTGCATTGCTTGAATCAGTTGAAGAAAGCCTTATAGGGCTGCCTTGTGAATTCTGGGGAGTTTGGAAATTGTAGGTGGTGTAAATGATGATGATTGCAATAGATTTAACAGCAATGAGTCAATATTCATTATATTTAGGAGAAACAAAAGTTTTGCCAGGTTTGTGTACTCTGTGTTACCACAAGTGAACCCAGGTTAGACACATGCTGCACCTTTCTGAGCTCCCATCACAAGTTATTGAGCAAAAATGGCTGTCCTGTCCAGACGTGTAGATTGTTAAAGCTTTTAAAACACTGTTTGCATATAATGGCTGCTGATTGCAAGGAGCTCTGTCACATTGTGTACTAGGAAGTTGGATCTCTCTTTTTAAAACGGGAATTGAGGCAAAGATAGTGGAGCAGCTTTGTGAATCTCATTTGCTCACTAAATGCAAACAGTAAGCGCAGGCCCCACTTCCTGTTTATAGTCTATTACAGACCAGTGGTATATATCTGCTGTGTGGATGTGCACAGTGAGGCTGTGCCAGATTAAAATGGAGCCTAAGATCCCAGAGCACTGTGACCCACCCTGTGGTGGGGCTGAGACTCACTCTCTGCTGTGCTTGTATGCGATTGAATTAGCAGGGTGTAATGCATATGCATAAATCTGAAGTTAATGCTTTATGCATTCTGTAATGCTTGGCAGCCCAAGCAGCAGGAGATTGACAGTTTGGCCCATGTGAGGGGAATTGTTGTCTTGAGACGGAGCCAGTCTTTTCTCTTAGATTGAATAATGCAGATTTGGATACAATTGTGATGTCTGTATAGTTTGTTGTTTTCATCCCTGGCAGTGGTCGGATACCACCTACTGTGATGTCTGCCAGGGCATGAATAATTTAGCAACGCCCCCTTAAAAGAACACGTTATATTTTTACCAACCTATGTGCTGTTCTGCTGCTGCTGTATATTTTTTTTGCTCAAACGTTGGTGGACACCTGGATTCGGAGTTGCTGTCTGAATCCTTGGCAGACATGCTTCATAGGCCAGTGGCAGCAAGAGGAGGTACCTCTCTGCATACTGTATGTACCCAGCAGTAATGATGTGTCAGTCCAGACAGGCCAGCATACACTTACAGCAGACTGATGATTCAGCAGGAGTGGTGCTATAGCTCTACAGAGCCACACTCTTCCCCACAGCCCCTTAATGATAAATGGATAATGAGACTTCTCTGTGTGGTGCAGAGAAAAGGAGGGGGGGGTGCAGGATCAGAGGGAGAAAAGGGTGAAAACCTGGTGACTGGATGCTCTGCACAGGCTTCAGGTGCACTTTTTTTTTTACTGCTGCAACACGACAACGCCCACTTGGGGAAAGAGAGAGAGAGAGAGAGGCAGCCAGCGAGAGCGCTAAAAAAAAATAAAATGATGAGCAAGAGCATGAGGTAATGGGACACAGTGAAAGCAGGGGAGGCTGGATGCTTTTTAGAGTTGGAAAAGAGATAAAGAGAGAGGAGTCATAGTGAGGGGAAGGAAGCGAGACGTTGAAAAGGTGGGGGTGCCGAGTGCGTGACAGGCTTGCCATGAGGAGGAGCTGAGGAGCTGATTGGCCTGGGTTAACCTGCTGCAGTCTGGGATGGAGCTGTTCTCCACATTTAAAGTCAAACTCCTCTCCCTTTACTACTAATTGAGGAATTTAAAAAAATCAATACTGAAGCCATTAGAAGCCAATGACCTTTGCTTTTGTAATTGTACCACAAAGCTTCCAAATATTTTTTTTTGCGCAAATGGATATGTGAGTAGTGGATCACTCGAAATAGCTTCAAAAGGCAGTAATGGAGTGATGCAGCAGAGATCTGTTATTGATCCTCCGCAGCATAGCAGGAATGTCTGTATGATAAAGACAGAGTAAGATGTCAGAGAGGAGACAGAGGCAGAAAGTCAAGGTTACATTTCCCTTTGCTCAGCACGTTTCTTCCAGCTGAATGTGCAGCGTGTCCTTGCATGAAAGGTGACACAACTCCTGCTTGTGTAAACAACACATCCTCCTCTGTACCTCATCTAGACGAGGTCGAAAATGGTGTATTCATGGCCGGTGTGTTTCATGTGACATTGATTGTAGCGCGAGGCAGCAGATGGAAAACTTTCTACTTCCTTATTCATATTTCTTCACTGTGAGGATTTGCTCTGATCACAGAGACTTCTGTTCCTTTGACAAAGTTCTAAAAAAAATTCTGAGACTGTGCTGCACCCGTCCTCATCTTGCTCCATCTGCAGTCTGCATACTAATTCTGCTGTCATCTACTGTTTCTCACCACTGTCCACTGTGCTCGCCTCTGTTCTCCATGACCTCTGTGATTGTAAGAACAGAAATTACAATGCCAGATCTCCTGTTTACCAGCAACTCCGAATGTTTCGAGAGGATTATACTGATAAAATAGGAATTGCAGATTGGAGCTCAGTTTGGAGCCGCTTTCATTTACAGCATTTCTATAGTTTCAGTAGTTGTGCATGCACAGATTAAAACATTTCATTTCGTAGTGTGTATCTGTCTTCAAGAAACCTCCTCTTCCATTTATATTTTTAGCCAATCTTTATTAAATCTCTCGAGAATATTAAAGACCATACTTCAGCACTTAAAATGAGACAGTGTTTTTCTTGCAGCTCAAGGTGAGGGCATCAGGCGTTTATCCTCAGTTGTGACACAAGCGAGATTAGGAAGAATTATGGTCACTTTTATTAGCTGTGGGCTGGGGAGCGAGTCTGAGCAGATGGGTGATGGTCCCATCATTCTCATAGTCACAGACTAAATAGCAACTGACTGACAAAAAAAAATGCAGTTTTAGTTTGCCTTTTACGCTTTCACTACAAAAATGCATGTGTTTTTCAAGAAATTATATAAAGGCACTAACAGGCACACAGACACAAAGGCGTTGTTGTCATCTGTGCAGCACCAAACAACACAAAACAATGTACTTTTTTTTGTCCCTTTTTGAAAAATGAAGGTTATGTAACCGCATCGCATTTACAATATTTCATCCGAGAAACAGTGTTCATAATCAGTAGCTGTTCATACATTACTGCTAGTCCCACACGGCCTGGGAAGAAATGAAGATGCAAGAAATGACACGCTCTCTGGGTAGATGTCAGGACATTTGGCTAGATTTATATGTTCTGGTCTACCTCCTCACAAGAAGGCTATTTAGAGACGGCGCACTGGTGTGAAATATGAATCCTAGACCTTTTGTAACTGGCAAAATACTAACTGTGTTTGTGCTATGCTTTGAATTTAATTGAATTGATTCAGCCAAATGTGTATTTTTGTCTCACAGAGCATGCATTAGCCTCTGAATAAACTCCAAATGGTGCTTTCTTATCAGACTGTGCAGCAGTGCCTGTCTTTGTTACGCAGAACTGTAAAATTTGAATGCTGCATTATGAGAAATCCTTTTTAATAACTCTTGACCTTGGTGTCTTTCATATTGTGACTGCAGGAGAATGTGTTGATCCGCTCATCTCTGGGCTGTATGCCTCCTCCTTCCTGGCGTCTTCCAGATATAACTTCCTATACTCCGCCAATTTTGCCAAACTCTATGGTAAGTTCTTGATTGTTGTGTCGAGTTCATCCATAATTTTATACCTTTCACCTTTAAGACCACAGCATGAAAACATTTAAACTTATCATAGCAAAGAAGCACCAGTGTAACTAATAATATCAGTGATGGCTCCGTTCCATTTAGTTGCACCAGTTAGTTATGGCTCTGTGTAAGGATGCAACAGGGCCCTGGAGCTGGAACATCAAAATAGAATAGAATGATGTTATTAGTTACACCTAAGTTTGAGATGTCAAAAAGCCTGCCATATGAAAGGTCTAGGTCTATGATGGTTATAGATATTAAAGTTACCTGTATGTCACTTTCTACCTACCTTACTCTTCTCTCCCTTAATGTTGCTACAGTCAAAATTTCATTTGATAATAAAATGGTATGCAAATAAAACCTAACGATACTAATGTTAATTTATTCAAGCAAAAGTAAAATGACTATTGTAAGAATGCACTTGGATAAAAGTAAGTCGTTTTTTTTTTACAGTATGTAACTGGTTATTTCCATCTTTGACAATGTGAAGGTAGTCACTCATAATGATGAAGCAGTGGAAAACTGTCACCTGAATTTGAAGTTTTTCACGGCGAACGGAGCTTCAGAGCAAGATCATGGTTTAGCTGGTCTGCCTGCAACTTAACTGTTTTGGTTCACTTTTAATGCTGTCATTGCAATGTTGTCAATCACAGCAGGTAATGTTTCCAACAAAAAAAAAAAAAGCTCTTAAAATCACTAGTACACTACCTGCTCAGCACCAAATATCAGATAGACAAAATTAGCAACGAGCAGGTGAAAATAGTAGAGAATTTAACAGCCATAGAGTCTCGTTTTCCATCTGAAGGTGGTGGAGACCAAAAACTGAGCTAAAAACAAACAAAAAAAAAGTGAATAAAGGACATATATTCATCAGGTGGACACACACATGATTACAAATGAAGAGCAATGTTGGTCTGTCACTGCTGGATGTGAAAATAAGCAAGTTTTTGCTAACAAGTTCACCCTGACATTTTAAAGGTGTTAATGTATCAAATGTTGTGTTTACAAGTTGTATGTTCTGCCTTCAAGGGGCAACAAAGCAAGTTATTGCAGATTTAAACACTGTATATTGTATATTACATTCAACAGCAAAGAAATGAGGACTCCAGATTACTGTTATTAATAAAAACATTGCACTATGATATGTTATGACTGCAGTAAGATTTAAGGTCAGTGTAAGGTCACAACTGCTTTGGTGATAGTTTCATCCTCGTCCCTCCTCTCTCCCCCTCAGGCAGCAGTGGCTGGTCCCCTTCCCCCCGGGACAGACAGCCATGGCTGCAGGTAGACCTGGGTAGGAAGTACCGACTGATGGCAATCGCCACCCAGGGGACCTTCAACTCCTATGACTGGGTCACCAAGTACACGCTGCTGTACGGAGACCGCCCAGACTCCTGGACGCCGTACATCATGAAAGGAGGCAACTCTGTAGGTGTCACTGGGCCAGCATGGCCGGGGTGGGATGAGGGCCTTAACAGGGATGAGGCGAGGATTAACTAGTCAAACGTAATCTTTTATAGCCGATTTCGGATTCAGTGGTTGTTTCATTATATTCATTGTCCCTGGCGCTGAAACAAAGACAACCTCGCATATTATCTCTCTCAGCACTGACAAAGCTAATCTCATCATCAGTCCATCCACAGTCTCATAATAAGGTGTTAACACCATTACAGTGACTCAATAACTCTCTCCACCCGTTGCCGTTCTCATCTGTTTGCAGACGATGCCTGGTAACTGGAATTATTATCAGGTGAAGAGGAATGTCTTCCATTACGCCTTCACTGCTAAACACATTCGTCTGCTGCCTCTGGCATGGAACACAGAGAATGGAGGGAAGATTGGTGTGAGGCTGGAGCTCTTTGGCTGCCCTTATGGTAAAAATGACTGATAGATGCTACACAGGGATTTACTGATTCTGATTCACATCCAGGGACACTCTACAATCCCAGTGCTTAATCATACTTGACAATATGCCACTAAATCTAAGCGCCAGCTATGGTGCAGTATGTTACTAGTTAATAAATGCCCACTCTCAGTATCATCTGAGTCATACTGATGATTATCATTCACTAGATAAAATGCCAAGCACCATCAGAGGAGCTCTAGGAAATGGGCCATGTAGCATTTACTCAGATAATCCTTATAACCTAACACATACCTTACATAAAACATTTAAATGTCGTATAGTCACGTTGATAAGAGTGAATCCAGTTTTACATTTTCTCTGTCCCTTCTTCCAGATTCCTATGTGGTGCAGTATAACGGGGATGACTCAGTGATCTACATGTACCCGGAAAAAAGATCTCGCACACTGCAAGACCACATTGCCATAAACTTCAAGACTCTTGAGCAGGACGGTCTCCTGTTACACAGTGAGGGGATCCAGGGAGACCTGTTCACCCTGGAGCTGAAGAGGGGCCGTCTTTACTTGCACATCAGCCTTGGTACAGTCTGAGTAGAAATGTTTAAATTTATGAAAGGAATCTTGTTGTAGCGGGTAAAGAAAATAATGTGTGACAACAACATCCATCTCAGAGGGAAGCAGGCTTTTCTTAATCCTGAAATAAAGCTGAGTTGTCTGAGTGGAAATGTCAGTACTGCTGGGTAGATTGTTGACTGGAGACCTACTGTTCCTTGAGTGCATTGGTTGGAGCATTTTCTCTCAGTTTTACATTGTTCAGTGAGGATTTGCTTTTATTTTTCACATCCTTCTGTGCTTTCTTTTGGTTTTTCAGGAAGCAGCATTGTACACAAAGTCAACGGCCGAACTACACTGACTGCAGGAAGCCTTCTTGATAATCTACACTGGCACTACGTTACTATCAAGCGCTATGGTCGACAGGTGAACTTCACAGTGGATAGTCAGACAGTAACAGCTGTTTGTAATGGAGAGTTTACTCACCTGGATCTCGATACACAGGTACCTCCGATAATTATCCTGAAATCAGGTTATATAAATGTTGGTGGATTTGGGATAATGCTGTGGTTTAATAAGGGGAGCTGACTGTATTAATATCTGTTCTCAGATCTATGTAGGAGGAGTAATAGAGGAAAGTTTGCCCCACCTACCTACCACACCAAATTTCCGAGGCTGCCTGGAAAATGTCTTCATCAATGGTATCAACATCATCGACAAGGCCAAGAGGGAAGACCCTGAAATACGCATACCACGGAGGGTAGGGTTATTAAACAGCAATATCAGGGTTTTATGTGCTTACCATTTGTGCAACTTATTACTTTACCTGTTTCATGATCGCTGGAAATTGTTTCACGATGACTAATGAGGTCTAATTTCTCTTTCTGTCCAGAAAAAGATGCATTATGCCTGCCGTGACATCCTGCTCAAACCCATGACCTTTGCTGGGCCCAACAACTACCTGCAGGTGCCGGGCTTCTTCAGGAGGCCTCGCATGTTTGTCAAGTTCAAGTTCCGTTCGTGGGACTACACGGGGCTGCTAATGTTCACACGCTTTGCCGATGACCTGGGTGCGCTAGAGCTGGGTCTGAGCGAGGGACAGATCAATGTCACTATATTCCAGCCTGGCAAGAAGAAACTCCAGTTTGCTGCAGGTGGGCTTCAATTCAAAGATTTATTTTAAAGATTTTGGAACGTGCAATTTCTGTTACGTCATGGAATTGACTGTTGACACGACATCAAGATACAGAGTATGAAGTCCCAAGCACATCATTTAATCAAGTGTGGTTGAAATCCAAAGCTTCAGGTTGCAAATCTATGACTGGACAATCAGAATCAGTGTTTAGCTAGCAACTGCAAGAATGTTGTCCATTTTGCATTTCTGTATTGATTGTAATATAAATGCATCATGACTTTGTCTTTGTCTTGCTCTTTAGGATACAGGTTAAATGACGGCTACTGGCATACAGTGGATTTAGCGGCCAGAGACAACCTGCTGACTCTCACAATCGATGAGGAGGAGGGCTCGCCATTAAGGATCACCAACCCTTTCACCATCCGGACAGGGGATCGCTACTTTTTTGGAGGTGAGGTGATGATGTAAATGACTAGTGACAACAAAACACAACCACATAGCCCAAAACTGTACTCTTCAACTACAGCGTTTGCTTTCTGATTCTCAGGTTGTCCAAAAACCAATAACACGATAAGGAAATGTGAGACCAAGCTGAATCGCTTCCATGGCTGCATGCAACATATCTTTATAGACAATGAACAGCTCGATATAGACATTATTCTGCAGCGACAGTGGGGACGTTATGCTGAGCTGTTGTTAGGCACCTGTGGGATCACTGACAGGTATGAATTTTACCATTTATCTTGGAGTACACCCAACTGAGTCAGCTTAGTGAAAAAAATAACTATACTGGCTCATTTATGATGTTTGTTGACAGTTTGAATTGTAGGAATTAAACCAAAAAAAAAAATAAATGACACGCTTATGTAAGTTGCTCACTTTTGTAATGTCCACAAATGTGGTATCAACATCTGCATTGTTTACAGATGTTCTCCAAATCCATGTGAACATGAAGGCAGATGCATCCAGTCCTGGGATGATTTCATCTGTCTGTGTGAGAACACAGGCTATAAAGGAGAAGTGTGTCACATGTGTAAGTGTTGGTTGATAATCTCATCACTGTAGAAAGTATTTTTTTTCCAGTTAATTACACCTGGCCTGCGCTATGTTTACTCCTAATAATAACAAATCGATCATGTCTCTCCTCCAACAGCGGTTTATAAAGAATCATGCGAGGCCTACAGACTCAGTGGCAAATATTGGTCCGGTAACTACACCATCGATCCTGATCTCAGTGGGCCGCTGAAACCGTTTGAAGTGTACTGCAAAATGAAGTGTAAGTTATTACTGTCACTAATAAAATGCAGCTTTATCAGCCATGTGTTCAGTGTTTGCCGGATCGTCAGTTGTTAGTGAATCGTGGGAGAACAAGAAGTCATGTTGTTATGTTTCAGTCATGAGAAAAGTCTACTGACATTTCACGGGAAATTTAGAGGGTTTATATAACAAGATACATCCAGCTGTTTCTGTTTGTGTCTGTGTGTATTGGAATATGGGGCTTTCTGTGTGCCAGTACACTGTGTCCAGGCTTTCTGTTAATATCCTTACCAGACATTACATAGCTTTTCGTCTGTCTTCATATTTCTTTGTATATTTTTTTCCTCATCTTTCTGTCTGCAGCATATAAAGCTTGGACAGTGATTATGCATGATCGAGTGGATGGTACCAAGGTGACTGGGAGTTCAATAGACCGACCATATATAGGAGATGTTAACTACTGGAACGCCTCCTGGGATGAAGTCACTGCTCTTGCCAACACTTCCATGTACTGTGAGCAGTGGATTGACTACTCTTGCTATAAGTCCCGCCTCCTCAACACTGGCAGTAAGTGGAATTAGTTTGGTTTTTATTCCTGTGGTGTGCTGATGGTCAATAAAGCAGACTTAAATTACACACAATCACAATTCTTTTTTTTTTTTTTTAAATAGATGGAAGACCTTTTGGTTACTGGATTGGTCGCAACAATGAGAGTCACTATTACTGGGGTGGGACCTTCAGAGAAGTTCAAAAATGCGGCTGTGCCATCAACCAAACATGTGTCGACCCCAAGTTTCAATGCAACTGTGATGCCGACTATAGACAATGGTGAGAGAAGAACACATTAAGCAAGCTTACATTGCATTTCTGACACTGACACTAATGTTTTAATGTCCCCTTTGTGGCTTTTAGGTATTCTGATAAGGGATACTTGGACTTTAGGGACCACCTGCCTGTGAGGAGGGTGGTGGTTGGGGACACCAACAGGACTGGCTCAGAAGCGCAGTTCACAGTCGGGCCACTCCGCTGCCATGGCGACAGTAAGATTGACTATTATGGGCTGTGTTCACACAGTGATCTTCAGTGCAAAGGGTGGGAGTTGTTCTTTAAATATATTTCAATGTTTTCCACAGGAAACATCTGGAACACCATAGCCTTCACCAAGCCCACCTACATAACCTTCCCCACCCTCAAGCCTGCAACCACTGTTGACGTCTCCTTCCACTTTAAAACCTATCGTGACCACGGTGTCTTCCTGGAGAACTCTGATGACCACCTCAAAAACTTTATAAGAGTAGAGCTCAATAGTAAGTGCTTTCACCTACAGGAACTTTTCTCCTCATGCAGCTGAAAGACTTATCTTAGAATTGCTCCACATTTTTAAAAATAACTTTTCCTTTCTCTTTCTTTTTTTCTCCCCCAGCCACACATAATCTTGTGCTTGTATTTATGGTCGGTGACGGCATCCTTAATGTAACCCTGCACTCGCCTGTGCCACTCAATGACAACGAATGGCACTTTGTTCAGGCTGAGCTTAATGTGAAAGTGGCCAGAATCAAGGTAGATTATCAACCGTGGGCTGTCAAACGCTTACCAGGTCAGACCTTTGTCACCATGCAGTTCACGCACCCTATTCTTGTAGGTAGGTAAACGCGGACATTTGAAACTTTAGAATGGCATTAATTAACATGTCATCTCTACACTCTGAATGAAAACCACTAACAAAAGTATTCTTTGTCATAGGTGCAGCCAACCGCACCTTGAGACCCTTCTTGGGGTGTCTTCGAGGGTTACGGATGAACGGTGTTCCTTTTGATTTAGAAGGGAAGGTAAATGAAGAACAAGGTGTAAGAAGGAACTGTACTGGACAGTGTCTCAATGCTTCCATACCATGTCGAAACAGTGGCCAGTGTATTGAGGGCTACGCTTCCTACACATGTGACTGTAACAACACCGCTTTTGATGGTTTCTACTGCCATAAAGGTAAGTTCATGTTCTATACAAGTTTCTCCGCAGCTCTAAGAAAGCATGAACTTATTAACTGTCATCAACTGCAGTAGCTCTCTAGAACAGATGTTGATATCTTATTGCACAATGTTCTTTCTTAAGACATTGGCGGTTACTTTGAAATCGGATCGTGGCTGAGGTACAACATACGAAAGAAGCCTGTAACAGATGAAGCAGCGTGGGCCAACTGGATCGACCCTCACTATGATAATTTCAGTCTCGGCTACAATGACACTGCGGATGACATAGAGTTCAGTTTCAGCACAGTTCACACCCCAGCTGTGCTGCTCTACATCAGTTCTTTCGTCCAGGACTACATCGCCGTCATCCTCAAGACTGATGGTAGGAGAAGCTTGCATTGCTGGAAATGGAAAAGCTGTATCTTTGATTTAGAGTGGCATTTGGTATATTCTAGTTTCACAAAGTGATCCTAAAATGATTCAGCAAGAGAGTGTATGTTATTAATGTATGCTATTTTCTTTCTTTCTTCAGGAAGTGTAGACCTGAGGTATAAGCTGGGGCTCATAACACACAAGTACCAGCTGACTCACCGAAACCTGGCTGACGGATACCCTCACTATGTGAACATAACCAGGCACAACAGAACCATCAAAACACAGGTTCATGCTCTCACTGCTGCCACTGTTTAAACTATGATCTGGGTTTTCCCTTGTTAGTTTCAGTGAAATCATTTTTATATTGAGTCTCCTGTTGTGTACCCATGTACGGTTGTCCAACCCTAACAAAGTGAAAAACAGAGTTCGGCACACATCTTCAAGGAAGAGTTTGAGGATTTTGGGATTAGATAGGAGAATTGATACCACTCTCATTTCTATAGCTTGAACATGCAACTGGTAAGCGTATTTTAGCTTAGCTTAGCATAAAGACTTGAAACAGGGGGAAACAGCTAGCATGTCTGCAAAGGAAACAAAACTTGCCTGCCAGTATGTCTGAGCTCTTATGTAGATTTGTTACCTTTGGACAGGATCATGCTGGCCGTTTTCCTGTTTCCATTCTTTCTGCTGGCTGTAACATCACATTTTCAGTACAGACATGAATTTGGCATAAATCTTTTCATATAACATTCAGCAATAAAGTGAATGAGCATATTTCCCCAAAATATTTAACTATTCTTTGAAATACAAATAGAACTTCTACATGCAAAATATTAACAATATAGTTAAAATTAGGGATGGACCGATACCTCTTTTTGATTTCCGATACTTCAACTTTGAGTATCTGCCGATACCGATACCATCTGTCCTCCTAAACTTCTTTGGAAATACCTTATTTGCATGAATACATATGTTTGAGATGGCTTTATCAAAAGCCTCATACTATTAAAGCATAGACTTTGCTTTTCTAAGAAAGGAAAAAAATAGCCAAAAGCATGTCTCAAAGTGAAACTGTAGCTGCTTTATTTGAGCTGCAATTAGACTACAGTGTGCACTCAGTGCCATTCACATATTTAGAACAGATCAAAATGACACAGCAACATTAAGCTGCAATTTAAAGGTTAAATTACCAAAACTTGGTATTAAATAATAGTACCACTAATATCTGCTCTCGGCTCTGTGCATGAGCAGTAGTAAATGAGGCCGGAAACGTTGTGAACTGCTGCGGGATTGGATCCAATAGGAAGGTTCTGTCTGCAGAGCCGGAGAGCCACGTACAGGCTGCTGGTAGAGGGCTGCACGTAGAGGCTGGACTCGTCTGCTACGGCCGTATAGGTGTGGCGGAGCGGGGCGTGCTACTAATAGATTGCCTAACTGATGGACTAAGGGGAAATGTGTTGACCGACAACGCCACCTGGGTTTAAGGTTCTCACCCAGGGAACCGACCTA